AATTCAGTGGTGGAGATGAGATCAAAAGTCCATAAAAAATTTGCCTATAAATAGGGTTGCAAGAAATTAGAGAAAATGCATGAAAAATAGCTAAAACCAAAGGAAACTCTTGCAAAAATTCCTTAGGAATTTCCACCCAAAACCCACTCAAATCATCTCCAAACACCTTAAATCAACTAATCAAGAAAGGAAATCAGGTTAGGAGATCAAGAATTATCAAGAGGAAAATTGGAAGTTTAGGTTGAATTGGTGAAGAAAAGAGGGAGGAAGAAATTTCTCAATCACCTCACTTTTTAAGGTTTAATTGGAGCTTAATTAGGTAAGTTAACCGCACCTACATCACAAGGATTGTTCAATTGATGTTAATTTGTGGTTTATGTGCTTTAATTTATGAATTTCAGCTTTAATTTAAAAAAAAAATTAGGTTTAGGTTTTGGATGAAATAAAATTAGAAAAAATGAAATTGAGCTTGTAATTCATACAATTAAGGTCAAAGTATGTTAATTGAACTTAAATTTGAGTTTTAAAACTCAAAAATTTCTAGGGTTAGAAAGAAGGGAGCATTTGACCTAAAGTAATGATTTGTGGGTTTTTGATCCTTACATGTAATTGATGTTTTAAATCTTGATTATGACTTGATTAAGTATGAATTAGTATTTAGAAATGAAAAACCTCATTTTAATTGAATAAAAATTCATGAAACACTTAGGGTTCCATTCGGTCTAAACTTAGATTTTTAGGGTTTTGATTTCATCACTTCAATTCATGATTTGTTGGTTAATTAGTAATTAAATGAGTATAATTTGATAACTAGGAGGGAAAAATTTCAAGAAAATTGCTTAATTTGGCTTAGGCCCAATTTTGGCCCACTACGACCTAATTCGGGTTTAGACTCGAAATTGTATCATAAATGTTAATTAGATTGATTTCTATTGATAATGTGTGTCTAAACTACTTGGTGTTAAAAATTTAGAAGAAAATGAGAAGAAATTAATCGAGTTTTCATTAGGGTAAGTTTCGACCTAAATGAGGATAATTAGGGTTTAAGTCTCCAAATGGTCTTTAGCACTTAGCTTAACTAATTCAAGCTTATAACTATGTAATTAGCTGAATTAGATTGGGAAAATTCATAAAAATCTAAAGGTTAGCTTGTATTAGTAAAATTAGAAGTTAGGCCCAATAAGGTCAAAAAGGGGACTAATGCCTATAAGTAACCAAATAATACCCAATTAAGTTAGTTCATGAATTTAGGACATAATTGAGAAGAGTTAAATGTGAAATAGATGCCAACAATTGAAAAAAAAATAGTTATATTATGTTGTGACATAATTCGGCCTAAGTGTAGGAAAACTTAGGACTTTAGTTTATTTTGTGAAATTATATACCTAATGGTGTTTTTGAATGATATTTAATGTGCTTGAATTATGGATGTTGTATATGATTGTGATGTTGTGTTGTTTGAATGGCATGTTGGTATTGGTATGGATTGTGATGGTTGGTATTGTTTATGCAAGGTAATATTATTAATGCAATTATATTGTTCATTTTATACATTATCATGATATGACTTGCTTGATTATTTATGGCATGCATCTCATGAGTCAATGCTAATTATACATTACCAATAAAATGCTAATGCATGCCTAATTTTGATGAAAAATGTTTTAAAGTCATGAAAATGTGTTTTTACGTCATGGTTTTTCAATAGCAATTGGAAATGTTTTAAAGCTTGTGGTTTTCATGACCTTGAGGATTTTTATGAGGAAAGGGCTTAATGGGTTTTTTCATATGATAATGGTAATGGTTCAAGACGGGGCTAGCGCGGACGTGCATTTTTAGAGGTTCGACCGGGCGCGTCCGTTGACAATTATAGTTCGCCGGACATATATTATGAAAATCTTGAAATACTTAAAAGGGGACATGTCCGAAGATGGAAAAGATTTTCAAATTGATCATGAAATATATTATGACATGGAAAAAGGAATTGATGTGCATATATTAGTGTCTTACACATGCAAATACATTCATATACACGACATGCATAAGTTAACTTAAAAGGGGGCTATTGCTCACTTAGTTCCTTGTAATGTAGATAATTAAGGTATGATGGCTTATTTCTCCACCGAGCTGATTTCGAGGGGTGCACCAAACGTATATACCTTAGGTGGGGGTTCGAATTTCGAGTGGATCTGCTACATGCTATTCTATTTCTAGCATTAGCAATTATCCTATATGTACCAAGATTAGTTGTTTGTTTTATGCTATAATAAAGGCAATGAACAAGTGAATGGAGTATTTCTAAAATGATGTAGTTAGTCAATAAGTCAATTTTGTAATAGTTGGCATTAAACTAGTTTCGTATGTAAACAATAGTTTATATGTAACCAAAGTACCAATAGTAAAATGGTAGTGTACTTATAGTAGTGTATTTACTTTAAATTGTCCATTGCGTGTTAGTATCCTTACAACATTAAGGCAATATGATTAGATGCGTGCCAAATAAAATGGACGAGTGAATACGGAAAAGAATAAGTAATGTAATAATCATAATAATGGATTATGATTAAAGAAAAGTAATATAATAATAATAATAATGGATTATGAATAAATCAATTTACATAAAGTAGTGAGAAAATAATTTAGGACAATCGATTGTTACAAATTCAATTAATCCAATCCAAAGAAAGTAAATAACATATTAAAACGCAAAAAATTTATAACGCTTTATTAGCCAAGGCACAAGACCTACCTTGCCAATATTAAAATTATATAGCATAGATTACACTTTAAACATCAAGATTGAGTCATAGTGCCTTGTTAGCTTACATTCATTGCACCTTGAATGTAGGTTAACGACGATAATATTCTCAACCCCTTAGGTTTTAGGTTGGAGGTGTTACAGTCCAACTCTTTAAAAAGCTTTTGGTTCTAGGTCATATGATTTATGCAGCCACTGTTTATAAACTAACTTTGAGTGGAGCTGTTACTGGTAAAACATGTTGCCATAAATAGATACTCATCCATCTACTATTGGTTTGCAACTTAAGCTCGATTCATCTACTAGAAATTGCTCTGGTAAATCCTCTCATGATGTTCCATTTTTTTGCATTTAACAGACTTGACATTTGGTATTCTCCAGCATTTGAAAAGAGGATGGCTTGTCTTTCCATAATGTCTATAGGGAAGGAATTTTGTGTTGTTTCCTTTATTACTGTTGTTATTATTAGCAGCAACTTCTGGTGTGCCAAAATTCCTTTTTTAGTCTTCTTCTTCTTCCCTTTTCCTTTTTGGTTAATCTGAAACTTTGCTTACACTGCTCCCTCTATAGACCTTTTTGCTCTCATCAATTTCTTTTGTAAAAAGCATTCAATAGCTCTACCAAGCTAATTTTTGACACATATTTAGCCTTCTCTAAGGAAGAAATAGTAGCTTTAAATCGTTTAGGAATTGTAAAAAGAATTTTCCCAATTATTCTAGAATCAAAAAACTCAAAACCAAGCAATCTTACCTTGTTGACAATGCTCAAAAGTTTGTCAGCATACTCTTTGATAGTTTCTGACTTCTTCATGCTTTGCATCTCAAACTCACTTGCATCCTATTAATTCTCTCATCTCTTTCATATTCTTTTTAGAGAAAATTTCAAATTTCATATGTTGAATTCAGAGTCATGATTCTGGTAAAGATTATTGGTGAGACAGTAGTAAATAGGCAAGATTTTGCATTTGACTTCCCTACCTTTCTTTCCTTGTGATTTTTGAGTTTTGCCAGTGTTGGGCTCTTTGACAATGGAGGAACTTTGTAGTCCTCCTTAAAAGCATTCCAGAGATCATTTGTATCCACGTAAGCCTTCATTCTCACTATCCAAACTTGAAAATTTTCACCATTGAACATAGGACTTGCAATGGTAGGAAAATATGTTTTAGAATATATTTGAGTGATGGATTTCATTAAGATATTTAGGCTTTTTAGTAGGAGATTCACTCGGATTCACTCATAAGTCCCTTAAGAAGAGGGCTCTGATACCACTTTGCTGGACTTTAGTCCTTGTTGAACTAAATCAAACAGAAAACAGTGATGAAAGAAAGCAAGAACATAAAGAAATAGAATCTGTTGTAAAACTCATCATTTTCCATTGCATGATCAACTTCTTAAATACATAACCAAAAATCAAAAAATCAAAAAATAAAAGCAAGCATGTATAGACATATTTGCATGATTAACAAACATCCTAACCCACTGCCATTAACTATTATTAATATTATTAACAGAAATTCAAAACAAAACTCCTGAAAACTTGGTCAAAGATAACATGTGTTACTGATGCAGTCTTGAATTCTTTTCTACAGCCCAGAATCTATAGTTGCAGCCCTCAAAACATCCTCTTTAGGCCACCTTGCATTTGATCCTAAGTCTGCAGCCTCAGTTTCACGTGTTCAGTCACTTCTGTTAGCCACATCAGCAGCTCTGCAAATCTTTAGAAAATCTATTGCTGCTTATGCTCATCTTCGGACTTTTTTAATTCAGCATATTGCCAAACCATTGCTGGATTACTTGAGAATGGAACCACAACGACTCAATTTTACTGCACTTAATCAGTTTCATTTCTATAATTCGATTAAAGGAGATTAATCCACCTTATGAATTAAAAGATTCTCAAAAGTTTACCTAATACCTACCAACCAAAAGGATTTAGCCAACCGGAAACTTGCTTGCTCGACCAATTTCCTAGATTGCAAGCAGAAAATGAAACATCAATTGACAGTTTTTTTTATTACTAAAAGATATAGCTCATTCTCAAAAGGATGAAAATGTTGGCAGGCACACATTTCATAAATAGAAAAAGGAAATTATTAAAACAAACAAAAGAGAATCAATAGAATAAAAAACAGAACAAGGGCAATTGAGTAAAACTAAGTCCAAATCAAAAGCCAACTTTAGTCTACTCTCGTCACTCGTGTAGAGAGAGAGAGAGAGAGAGGGTTTAACAAGACAGGTAGAAAATGGAGAGTGTAGCCGTGTTCGGTGGAGCCAAAACTTGTATCTCTTTCTCATCCACTTTTCCTTCATCAACTTACACCACCAACACCAGAAGCTTATCCTTCACTTCCTTCAAGAACCTTAATCTACGCGCTACCCACCTATCTGCATTCCATTCAAAATCCCATATTTTCTCTTACGACAATTCCCCGTCACGTCCTCATGGTGCTAAAACCCGCAATTCCAGAAAACCCCGAATCTTTCTTCCTCATTTGGTGGCTTCCATGGTATTTATTTTCGTTTCTTAATTCAATGTGTCTATCATAATTTGCTGTTAGAATGGTTTTTATCTGTGTTTTTTGGCTGAAGAGAGGGAAAGTAAAAGAATTGTTAGTGTTTATTGAATAATTCTAGAAACTAGTGAGAGCCCAGTCCAGTGTTTGATGTTTTTATTAGTTATTTACATGTTTTAGTGAAACCCCAGTTTGAGTTTTTTTTATTTTGCTTTGTTAATTTTTGTGTAGGAACAAGTTGAGGAGACTTACATTATGGTCAAGCCTGATGGTGTTCAACGTGGCCTTGTAAGCTTTCTTAATTCCTTTTTTTTTTTTTCCCTGTAAATATTGGGAAATTTGTATTGTGATTGCTGGGAAAGTTTGAGTGAAGATAAGATATTAGAGATTGGAACCTTAGTTTTTCATTGTTTGGGATAAGATGAAAGTAATTTTTCATTTTATTTTATTCATTCATCAAAAAGAAAGTAATTTTTATTGAATTGAGCCAAATGTGAAGTATTTTGTTTAAACCTGAGTATATATTCGCAATGTAATAGTTGACAAGATGTTGGATTTTGATGATGGCATTCTGAATTTATTTGTGTGAATTGAGTTGCTTTAGGTTGGAGAAATAATCTCGAGGTTTGAGAAGAAAGGATTTAAACTGACTGGCTTGAAGCTTTTCCAATGCCCTAAAGAATTGGCAGAGGTTTGTACTTTGCAGTCTTGCAATGTTGATATTCATTTCTTTCTTTTGTCTGGCAAACCCTTCAACCAATATTCTATATTTCTTGCAAATGTTAGAGTGGTTTTGTATCTTCTTGTAATGCCTTACCTGAAGCAAAACATTAAGGTTTGTGGTTATGTGATTGTAAACCGAGTTGGTCTGTTTGATTACTCACAAACAATGGCAGAAACGAGAAAAAAGATATCTTGGAATCTTACAGCATTAACTTACTGTAAAAATCCAAGCTTTCTGCTATTATTTGTGTGATTTTTTATAATCAATCACGAAAGAAGTGTAATTTCCATCTTTGGTGAGAAATTCTTTTGTTGATTCGCTAGTATAAAACTCCAAGCCTTTTTTTTTTCTTTTTAATAATCAACCAGGACAAAGGTTTGCTTTATCAATTCCTGCTTCTTTCCAGAATTGTGTTTGTAGGCGTCCATTTCTTGAGTGTGGCCTTTTAGTGTCCTCAAATTATTTTATGTCTTAACGTTCTTTTGTCTGCAATTCTGCATAATTAGGAGCACTATAAGGATCTCAAGGCCAAGTCTTTCTTCCCTGGTCTGATCGATTACATCACTTCTGGTCCAGTTGTGTGTATGGTATGAAGTTTATGAATCTGAAATTTCTATAGGTTTTGTGTTATTTCTAGAATACTGAAAGTAATGTTATTTTTCCAGGCATGGGAAGGTGTTGGTGTCGTAGCATCAGCACGTAAGCTAATAGGGTCCACAGACCCTCTTAAGGCTGAACCAGGCACAATCAGAGGAGATCTCGCTGTTCAAACAGGAAGGTAGGCTGTTTATACTCTTCTGATAGGTTGCTTTATGTGCTCGTTTTCTCTAAGTTGGGTTGCAATTTTTTTTTTTTTTGGTTTTCTTAGCAATTTTACTATCCAATGGTGAACTTTCTGCAGGAATGTGGTTCATGGCAGTGACAGCCCTGAAAATGGAAATCGTGAAATAGGTAGGCCTGCTTATGCTCTATTTTTAGTTCAAGGACAAATAATTCTGTTGCTAATGGTTTTGTGAGTACACAAATCTATTCTTGCATTCTGGAGCTAAATACTGTGTTTGTAGATTATGCAAATATGTGATGAAATTGAAATTCCAGTCCTCAAATAGCCCTTCTCTTGTATGTGTAATGTACTGTTTGCATGAACCAAAATAGGCTTTCCTTTTCTTCTATCTATGCTACAAATTGCACTAACCTTCAAATGCAGTTGAGCCTTCAGACTGTGTTTGAATTAATGAGGAAAAGGTCCCTAGTTGAGATTTTCACAAGTGGTCAAGTCAATTAAAGAAAATTACACAAACTCAGCCTCATTAGTCACCTTTTCATTTGGTACAGCTACAAGGTGTAATCAGCCTTAAAATTTAAAGATTCTGAGAAGAAATTCATCGCAGGAAATGTCTAGGTTACTTGATTTCAATCATCATCCAATTGGTGGTTTCCCTGCATGTTTGTGTTACATTGCCAATACAATTGTAATGAACTCGAGACACATTTTTTAAAATTGCTAAAACCAACTTTAAGTCCATAACTCCAATGGAACCGAGAGGATGAAGCAAAAAGATTTGATGTTGCTTCAAATTGTGGTAGTATATGCTATTGTAATCCTTCAAGTTATACATAAAGCTTGTTATGTCATACACATAATCATTCTTCACCATTACCTCAGCCTTTTCCTCTCTATAAAAAATTTACCCATTTGCTTTCTCACAGGTCTCTGGTTTAAAGAAGGTGAATTGTGTCAGTGGACACCAGCTCAAGCATCTTGGCTGCGGGAGTGATGATTACTCAGAGGTTGATTATTGGCTTGCAGTTTTGACGTGTTATCATCTGAGCAGTTGTATTTATCAAAACTAGGTCATTGTCAGTATTTTGAATATTCTTATGTCAACCCACAAAATTTCAATGTGAAACCTGTTGTAAGAACTTTTGTTCCTCTTTCTTTAGCACACAAGATATTCAGATTAGTTTCTGCTGAATCCAGTCCAGAAGACCTGCAATCTTTTGGTTAATTGCCATTACATTGGCGTACATTTTTGGAACTGGTATGGAACTATGTTTCATTCAGTACTCCTAATGCTCCACCCCAAATCAGCAGAATGCTTATTATATAGGCCATTTTGAGGCACAGATGTTGTCTATCATGTATGGAGTAATCTTCGGATCAAAAGCACAACAAAAATGTTGTGTTTCACTTGGTGAAATAGTTAGCATCAAATCAAGTACCAGCTGAAAGCTAGATCAGGTAACAACCTCATTTTCTATAAATCCTTATAGGTTGCCTCTAACTGAGAGGATTCAAGTAGAAATCCTTTATCTGACAAAAGAATGAGCTCTTTTGTGCTGGTCCATAGATTGGCAGTTGCTAGAAGTAAGGGAAGTTGTTATGGTTCTGAGTTAAGGATCTCGTTAAGGGTCGTTTAATGGGAAAACAATTTAGCTTTCCCTTCATGCTTTGATTCTTTCATAAAGAACCTATTGTGAAAAGATAACAATTGATGGTTTGTTTTAGAACTCTCTTAGGTTTTTCTTGATTGAATTATTCGATACCCTTATTCAAAAAGCATTTGCTCTTTATATAATAGAAGCGGCTGAAAAACAAAAACATACCTAATAAGATATTACTAACATAGTCTTAATTAAAATACCACATCAATTAGGACACTCATATTTTTTTTAATCTGACTTATTCTTAATAAATAATAAGTAAAAATAATAAATGAATATATGCAAGATCTTAGTTTTCCTCCTTGCATTGTTGTTTTCTTCTATAATGTTAATCCATAACATTACACCCCTCCTAAAGATTGAGCTTGTCCTTAAGCTCAAAATGAGGATAAATGTCTTGTAAGGAAGTGATCGATTCTTTTGTAGCATCATCAAGGTGCTACAAAAACAAAAACATACCTAATAGGCTATTACTAACATAGAGTCTTAATTAAAATACCACATCAATTAGGACTCTTATATATATATATATATATTTTTCTAATATGACTTATTCTTAATAAATACTAAATAAAAATAATAAATGAATATCCGCAAGATCTTAGATTTCCTCCTTGCACTAAAAACTAATATAGTTTTTCGCCTTTATATAGTAGAGGTGGCTGAAAAACAAAAACATACCTAATAGGCTATTACTAACATAGAGAGTCTTAATTAAAACACCACATTAATGAGGACTCTCATATCTTTTTCTAATCGACTTATTCTTAATAAAAAATAAATAAAAATAATAAATGAATATCTGCGATATCTTAGTTTTCCTCCTTGCGCTATTGTCTTCTTCTATAATGTTAATCCACAACATTACACCCCTCCTAAAGATTGAGCTTGTCTTTAAGCTCAAAATGAGGATAAATGTCTTGTAAGGAAGTGATCGATTCTTTTGCGGCATCATGAAGGTGCATTCCTAGTTCTCGTTATGACGTAGAGGGAGATTTCAAGATCCACGATGGGTCCGGTTCCCCGTCGAAGTCGTCCACCAACAAGTAGAACGGACGTTTACACTTATGCTCAACAAAGAATGATTCATCACAATTGTAACAAAGTCCCTTTGCTTGCCTCTCTGCCATCTTTACTCTTAATAACTTTTTAATGAAATGCATTGATGTACTTCCCGTGTCGAAAACCACGAGCAAACTTCTTCCCACTTGTTTGGCTTCATGGTTGACGAGTGAGTGGAGGAGTTGAACTTTTCATTTTTAGGGAAACTAGTTAAAATGAGTGTTTCTCACTCCAATTTTGCCCGAGAGTTGTAGCTTTTTGTCGAAAGCCCAAGCTAAATTCATAGTTGTAACTAGATTAGGGGGTTGATGCATCTTAACATCCACCAGGTAACGTCTCTATAAGTCCTGCGATAAAAAAATCAACTTGTTGATCACCTATAATAGAAATAGCCTTAGCTATGAGTGCTTGGAATTGACTCGATATTCCTCTACTGTGTCGAATTGTTTTAGATTATCTAGCTCCCCTAACCAGGTTACTACTCAACGAAGGGTCAAATCTTAGAGAACAATAGGATCCGAATTGATCCTAAGTGATATTTAGCTCTTCTTCTTCTAGTCGAAAGAACTACGGTTGAGCCTCGGCTATCATATGAAAAGTGGCTAAGCCCACCTTGTCTCTATCTTTTGTTTGCTAGTTCAAAAGAATTGTTCGTAATGATAAAGCCATCTCAAAAGGTTCTTCATCCCACTATAATAAGGAAATTCTAACCTGGAGCACACGGGAACCACGGGGTTGTTGATGGTCCCTCGAATGGCACTATTGCTGGTCGTGATGTCGATTCACTGTTGCTTCCAAATACCATCTCTCTTTCAGTTGCGTTCCCTTTGTCCAATGATTGCAACTCTAGCAACCTCTAAATAGCCTTCATACCTATCCTTAGCTCGCATAATTCCCGACCAACTGTGTTTGTCGGTGGAGATCCAATTCTTGTACCCTGGTCGATAGTTGTTTGTAATCACCTATGAGGATTTGTTCCGATACCAAATTGTTATGATCCCAAGTTAAAGATCTCGTTAAGGATTGATTAATGAGAAAATCAATTAGTTTTTCCTTGTTCACATTTCAATTCTTCTATGAAGAACCTATTGTGAACGAGATAATGAACACTGAAATATTATGCTTACTTTACTAAGAAAGGGTTACACCTATTTATATATTACAAGGAGTATGAGCTATTTTAGTATACAATCTAAACTAGGAAACCTTTAATTACAAAAATTAGAATTGATGACTGTAATTACAGCTAATTATCACAACTTGCATTGACTCGATAAATCGGGAAATTATTACTAAGAACATCGGGGAATGATTTCCTTGAGAATCCAATTCAATGAATTTGGACGGATTCTTCGACATTCCTCCTCAAGTTTGTTGAATGAATATTTTCCATTTCTATTTTATTGTTGATACTTTGAAATGTTATACTAGGAAGTCCCTTTATTAGGATATATGCCAATTGTTTGTTGGTAAAGATATAAGGATTGCAAATGAGTCCATTCTCAAGCTTCTTTTTCATAAAATCACGATGAATTTCCATATGTTTTGTTTGATCATGTTAAATAGGATTACGTGTGGTATTGATAGTCGATTTATTATCATAATACAACTTCATAGTGCCTTTCTATTCTATTCTTAAATCTTTTAGAATAATTTTATTCATAATAGCTCACATATTTCTTGGGCCATTGCTCGAAACTCGGCTTCAACACTTGATCTAGAGATTGCTCGATTGTTTCTTTCTCCAAGTAATAAGATTTCCCCCAAAAAAGGTGTAGCACCCTAAGGTAGATCTTCAATCAACTGGAGATCCCGCCCAATCTACGTCCGTGTATGCTTCTAAGTTGAGTCTTCCATTTTTTTAATAGGATTCCTTTCCCAATAGTTCTCTTGAGATATTAAAGGACTTTGTGTGCAACTTGTAAGTGTATTTCTCAAGGAGTATCCATAAACTAGCTTAGAACACTTACTGCATGGACTATATTTAGTCTTGTATAAGCAAGATAAATGAACTACCCAATCGACCTTTGATATCTTTCCTTGTAAACTTTTAGACTATTTACGAGCTTCACCCAACTTGTGATGATAATCAATGGGAATTTCTAAAAGCTTATACCCTATCGGACTTGTTTCCTTGAGTATATCCAAGATATATTTCTATTGAGAGATAAAAATCCCAATTTTGAATATGCAACCTCAATTCTTAGGAAATACTTGAGTTTTCTTAGGTCTTTTATCTTAAACTCCATGGATAGGTGATCTATTAGTTTTTTATCTTAGAATCGTCTTCTATCATAATAATATCATTCACATAGACTATTAAAGGCGGTGATCTTATTCACCTTCGATCATTTGATGAAGAGTGTATGATCTCCTAGGATCCGTTTGAACTTCATTCGTTCAATGGCTTTGGTAAATCTTCCAAACCATGCTTATAGAGGCTGCTTCAAGTCATATAGAGCCTTTCTTAACTCTGTATACATTATTAATATGAAAGGCTTGATTGAATCTAGGTGGTGGTTCTATAGAGGCTTCCTCTTTTAGATCATCTGTGTAAAAAAACATTTGTTTACATCAAATTGTTGTAAAGTCCAATTAAGATTGGTCGTCAAAGATAATAATATCCTAATGGTGTTTAGTTTTACCATAAGTGAAAATATTTCCACATAGTCTACCCTATATGTTTGAGTATAGCCTTTGGCAATAAGCTCGGCTTTATATCTCTCAAGTGTCTCATCCGTATCATATTTCAATGTGAACACCCACTCATACGTAATTAATTTTTTCCTTTAGGCAACTCGATAATCCCCCAATTTTATTTTTCTCGAGTGCTCTCATTTCCTCAATCATAGCATTTTTCCATTCTCATTTCTAAGTGCTTCTTGAGCGAGTTTTGGAATCTCAATAGTGTTTAACTTAGTGAGAACGACCTTATGTGAGGGAAATAGGTTGTAAATGAGATAAAATTAGCTATTGGGTGTTGTGTGTAGTTATATATTCCTTTTTGAGTGCAATAGGCAAAAAAAGGTCATGAAATTCTAATGGTATAGAGGTATTGAAAATCAAGGATGTTTGATTTTCAGCAAAAGTAACGTCTTTTGATATGTAGAACTTCCTAATACTTAGGTGATAACACTTATACCTTTTTTATGTTCAAGAATATCCTAAGAAAATTGACTCTAAGGCTTTTAGATCAAGTTTACTATTTCTATCTTTTTCCGAATATGTACATAGGCAATGCAAACAAAGGTTTGTAAAGGAAGTTGTGAATGTTTTATATGAGGAAAGTATTCGGATAATATGTCAATGGGAGACTTGTTTTATAGTATTCTACTAGGTAATCAATTAATGAGGTATCCGGTCTGTTAAAACGACTTCCCCTAATAGGATTTAGGGATTTTTCTCAAATAATAGGGCACGAGTTACCTCTAGAAGATGATAATTGTTCCTTTTTGCAACCCCCTTCGTTATGGGGTGTCAACACAAGAAGACTCGTGAAGTATGTCGTGTGTTTAAAGGAATGGTGACATCTTGTGATTAAAATATTCTCTCCCATTATCGGAATGAATATACTTAATATAAATCCCAAATTGTGAAAGAATCATTTCATAAAATATGAGAAAAATTAACATTCACATCTTCTTTATTTCTTATTAAGAAAAGCCAAGTAGTTCGAGAATAATCGACTATAAATGAAACAAACCAACGAGCCTCACTAATGTTTGAAATTCTTGATGGCCCCCAAACATCTGTATGGACTAAAGAGAAAGGTCCGGATGATTTGGAATTACTTAAAAGATAAGACACTCTATGGTGTTTGGCCATTTAACCCATTTCAAAATGAAACTCATTGACATTTATTTTTTGAAATAACAAAAGAAACATAGTTTTTAATGGTGAAAAAGATGGATGACCTATTTGAACATGATGAAGCCAAATCCGAGCTTTTCTTGTAGATTGATTTTCAGATATGTAAGATTGAGAAACAAACTAAAAAACATAACTGGTTTTATGCCCACCATCACTTGTGTCTTGATAGTAAAATTTTTCTTGTTCCTTAGCACATCTAATCATCTTCCTCGGGTTCGATCCTAAAATACATAGTGAATGGGATGGAATGTTACAAAATAGTTCAAGTCTACTGTGAGCCTTTTAATGGATAGCAAATTAACGGCCAGTTTAGGAACATGAAGAATAGATTTCAAAGATAGTGAAGGCATAAGTTTTATAATTCCTTTCCCAGCAATAGTAATCAAAGTTCCATTGGTTGTTTTTATTTTTGGGTTACTAGAACATGAGGTATAGGATGAGAAATGATTTGAGGAATTTTTCATATGGTCTATTGCTCCTGATTCAACTAACCAGATTCCATTATAATTGCTCTTTGAATCATTTAAAGAGTGAGTTATAGAAAAATTACCTGATTGGACCATGGAGCATAAGCCCATCGATTTATCAATTGCTGTTAGGAAACTTCGAAGTTTTTCGATTTCTTATTGATTTAATATGATTATCTATTGGGTTACAACAACAACATCTTTTTCCTTAGTATAGACAACATTGGCTTGATGATTTCGAGGTGGAAATTTCATCTAGGAATTACTTCTGGATGGTTGTCCATACAGCTTCCAGTAAATGTCTTTAGTATGTCATAGTTTCTTATTATAATTACAGAACAAGCCATCTCTATTTTTTGTTGATCTGTTGAATGATCTGGGGTGCTCTATTTGGTTAGTATTCTGCTGTAAGCTATGAGGGACAGTAGCAGCAGCAGTAGGAACCGAGGCAATTGAGGCTGAGCTTTCACTTGGTGGAGTTTCAAGCATGATGCATCTCCTTCCTTCTTTTCTCTAGATGATAGAGAACACTTCACTCAGGGTTGGTAGGGAATCCTTTCCAAATATTTGCACATGAACTTGATCATATTCAACATTCAAGCCAGCCAAGAACTCATACACCCTTTCTTCATCAACGAATTTCAACATCAAAACAGCATCTTCCTTACACTTCATCTTAAATTTATGGTAATAGTCAAGTTCAATCCATAATTTTTTTCATCTTGCTATAATAATTAGTGATTGAGAGAGTACCTTGTTTGGTTGAATGAATTTTGTTCTTAATCTTATAAACCAAGACTACATCATGGACTTTTGAATAAGTCTGCTTGACAGTGTCCCAAATGTCTTTTGACAGGGGTAGGAGCATAAGATTTCCTTTGATCTCAGATTACATTGAGTTCCAAAACCATGTCATGATTGATGAATCTTCCAAATCCTAAGCTTCAAACTCTAGATCATCTTCCTTCGGCATAGGACCTGTTAAATGACTCAACTTGCCTTTTCCTTTAAGAAAGTTTCGAACTATTTGGGACCAGACCAGGTAGTTTCTACCGTTGAATTGAAATGATGATTGCAAGCTTTGGAATTCAGTTGTTTGTGACTGTGAATTCTGATTTAAATCAGAATCATTGGTAGTGTTTAGGTTGGCATTTTTTCAGAGATTTCTAACAGTTTTTTGAGATGGCTAAAGGCAAAAAAATTGCAGAAGAAAAAAGAACTTTTATTTCGGCAGAATAATACGTTAAGGCTCTGATACCATGAACACAAAAATATTGTGCTTACTTTACTGAGAAGGGCTTATGCCTATTTATAGATTACAAGGGGTATGAGCTATTTTAACATACAATCTAAACCAGGAAACCTTTAATTACAAAAATCAAAATTAATGGCTGTAATTACAGTCAATTATCACAGCTTTCATTGACTCGGTAAATCAAGAAATTATTATTAAGAAAATTAGGGAATAATTTCCCTGAGATTTCGATCCAATGAATTTGAAAAAATTCGTCAATAGATAACAATGGATGGTTTGTTTTAGAGACCACCAGCTCTCCTAGGCTTTTCTTGATTGAATTATTTGACACCCTTATTCAGAAAGCATTCGTTCTTCATATAGTAGAGGCGACTGAAAAACAAAAACAACCCTAATAGGCTATTACCTAGATAGACTCATACTAATATAGAAAGTCTTAATTAAAATACCGCTCCAATTAGAACCCTCGTATCATTTTCCTAATATGACTTATTCTTAATAAATAATAAATAAATATGTGCAAGATCTTAGTTTTCCTCCTTGTGTTGTTGTCTTCTTCTATTAAGCTGATCCACAACAGAAGCACCCGCACAACTGTCACTCAATGAGTCAGAATTGCCATTGCTTTCTCACAAGTCACAAGATTAGGTTGATGCTTGCTGATAGTTGTTATATTTGGACGAAGTGGTAAAGAACTGACACAGTCCTGCTCCATTACCGTTTCTCTGTTGCTTGTAGATAGGCTGTTATTATCATTGTGAGAACTAAGACATTTATTCATAGAGCTACATTTGACCCCATCACCACTGCCTCCTGCAACCATTATAAATTTTATAATACCATAAATAGATCCTTTCAACAGAATTTTAGGCGCCTCAGTAAAATAAATCACCTGTACCTACACTTACACCAAAAGTAGCCAATCTATTGTAAGCACGCAGCACTTCAATCCCCCAATTTCTCTTCATTAACTCCTTTATCATAACAGAATCATTAACTCCTTTATCATAACAGATTCTCTCTGTCAATCTTTTAAAAAAAAAACTCTAAAACTTCCCTAAGAATTTCAGCTGGGGGCTACCATTGGTATCATTTCCAAATTCCAATAGCTGCTTTCTATGCTTATCTCATCTCACAACTCTAAACAAGTGGCTGCTTGGCGAACATGCTCAAAAAACAGAAGGAGAATGGTGAACATACCGGTGATGCATCATAAACTTTGAACATGCTGCTTTCTATGCTTATCTCATCTCACAACTTGAAAGCTGAAAGTTTTTCAATGAAAACATAATCCTACCTATCTAAGTTTTTATCTCCCAACGTAGATTACTTCAGTTCAGGTAATTCTGATATTTTATGCTCTTTGTATAGTCAACTTGGATCTATGATCGAAAATTCTGCAGTTTTTTACATCTACATTCCGAGCCCCAGTTGACAACAAGGTCATTCTAATGTTTTCAGGAGGATAATCATTTGAGTAACATGATGTCACTAAATGTTAATGGTAAGAAAGGAAATGAATCCCACCTCTGCAACCTAGTTCTAGGGGGAAATCGATTGCATGTCAATGAAAGAGAGAGAGAGAAAAAAAACTTCATAAGTTGCCAATGTTTTCCAAGCATGACACACCAATTCCATAAACACTTTGAAAAAGCTTGGTGAAACAAGAAGGATCAAATCAAGATCCAGTTTAGTACCCAATCAAGTCACAACCACCTTGTTATACCCGTCTAGACTCTAGAGCCTCTCTCTGTGAAAGATAGCAAGGAACGAATGGAGTACATGTGAATACAAATCCTACATCCGACAAACAGATGAGGAACTACGGCATTCATGTTCAGGTTGCTCTTTTGAGCTGCCTAGAGACTGGGAGTTGCTAGAACTACCATAAGCACTCACAGAACATTTGCTTGCTATCAGCATTGCCTCTCCGTGAGGGGTCAATGCATGTCGGGAATTATTATACTTGGAAAACAGATACAGCACTGAAACATTCTTGCTTTGCTGCTCTTTTGAGTCACCCGTAGACTGGGTAGCACTAAAACTTGACCGATCACTCACAGACGAACAATCTGGATCTACTGTCATTGCTTCCTCGTCAGGTGAGGTTATAACATGCTGTAAACTTTTCAAGGCATTTGTAGAGGTATTGTTGGACTCCATGGAACTTGAAGCACATGTAGTGCTACACTCACTTTCCATTTCCATTGCCTCGTCAAACGCTGAACTTAGATCACGTTGAGAACCTAGTTTAAGCTTCATCAATGTAGCCTCTGCATCAAAAGAACAGACAATTCAACAAACTCGGCATTCTATTTGATAACATGTCATCTTGTAAACAAAAAGAAGCCAGAGAAGAAAGGACCTTGGAAGGAACACTCACTTAATAAAGCACTATACATGCATATAGTCCTAAAATTCATTTTTCAATTAAAGGAGATTTATCACAAAGCTGTTGCCACAACCAACTCTATTACCTCCTAGGAAGGCCACAAATAACCTAATCAAGCGTCTTTTTATATATAAATAAGCCAAACAAGGAGGAAGGAAAAACATGCACAGATTATGGTCTTGAGAATCCTTCCGATGGTACTATCATGAAAGTTAAAATCTTAAACCAAAAATAGAGACCCAAACTTCCTTTTATAAGCAACTCAAAAAATATCGTTTCACTTACTTGACATTTTACAAGAAGTGGTTCTAACAAGTACAACTTACAAGGCTACTCCTTTTTTTACATCTCTATTAGTTGTGAAATATCTCCACCATTTGCAAATAACCGTTGACGATTCAGGCCAGTCCTTGGATCGACGACGGCCACCTTGTTTACAAGGCTAATTGTATATGTTTTTCACCTTTTTAATAGAGCTCCATTTCTGTAAGGTTTGGCCATGAACAAAAGATTCTTGCGTACAAATCTAATGGGTGTGAAAGTCCCACATGGTTCAATAAGTCAAATTATGATACAAAAATACAACATAATAATTCATATCAAACAAAGAATGTTGTAGAGTGGTTGGAAAATTAAGATTTAAGCACTGATTGTCAAACATGTAATTGAAGGCTGAAGGTTTTGAGCACTGTTAATAATTATGACAAAATTCTTAAGAAATTCATTTGACCCAATTTCACATTTATCATAATCTGCAAAACCCATAATTTGATTCTCCAGTTAGAGAGAGAGAGAGAGTACCGTAGATAGAGAGAGAATCATCTTTGAGAATCTTGGAAGGCGGTCTCTCCAAGCTGTCTAGCGAAGAAGAAGATGCCCTTAGTCTCCCAAACATCTGATCTCCCCTCCTTTCTTAAACACAATCTCTCTTTCACGGTTTGTTTCTTTTGTGAGTAGAAATAAAAGATGGATCTGGTTTTCAGAAGAGATGAATTGAAAGAGACGTTGTGGGTTCTAGGGTGGAGTGGACCCTTTCTTCTTTGACATTTGGCGCCTTAATTCATTCAATAAGGCGGGAACTGTACCTGACACTCTCTTCCGCATTGAATATACATTTGGGCTGGGCTGGGCTGGGCTCTCGTGGGAAAGATTTTGTTCAAGACCAAACCCATTGACTGAACTTAGATACAGTAACTAATGGGCATTTCAGTGGATCTTAGGGGGTGTTTAATAACCTAATTAAGTAACTTAAAAAATTAAGTTATAATACTTAATATAACAAGTTTGTTTGATAACCTAAATAATCTCATATTAAAAGTTTAAATTCAGTCAAAATCTACTTAATTAGGCAAGTTAAAATTTTTAACTTATTACTTTTTTATTAACATGCTCGGTTGAAAGATTTTTAAAACTTTTTAAATATAACTATATAGCCCTCGTATATTTTATAACTTTAGCTATACAAATCAACTGAAAAACAATCTCTACTATTTTCATTGGTGAAACAAAAAACACGTTCTCTTTTATCAATGCTTTCATCCTATCATCATCAACAAACTACTAAGAATCGAAGACGTCAAGGTCTAATCCCATCATAGGTAATTTTTCTTTCATTCCATTACGGATGATTTCCTTTTACGTAGCTTAAAAACATGTCAAGTATCTACCAACGAGATGAGTAAATTATAAATTATTCCTTCATATAAACGAATTAATTAATTTTTCTTGTTTCAAAAATAATTATTTATTTTTTATATTTAAATTTCTATAACTTAATCTTTTTCAAAATTTTTCTTTGGTGTTAAGAAATAAAATATAAAAAAATTAATAAGGAAAAATGATATTTTATGAAATAAAATAATATTAAATTAATATAGTTAATACTGATTAAAAAATGAAATAATTAATTTTTTAAAACATCAGGAATTAATTAATTTGGTTTCTGAAAAATATAGGGACACCAAGAGGTAGGGTTGAATGAACTTGTTTGCAACCATAAAAGAGGTGAGTAAATTAGTCCCTCATTTTTTATTATGATGGTCAAATTAATATTCGGTTGTGGTGGGTATTAAATCCGGCTTCTCATTTCTCCAATAATAACTATCCACTAGTTCATATTGACTTAAAAAAAAAAAAAAAAAACACTTTTAGTACTCATTCCAAAATATTCAAACAATATCAATCCTTGATGGAATGAACTCAACTTCTCAGACAATATCGATAAGCAATTTTTTATATTGGAATGAACTCAACTTTTCGAACAATAAATTCGTGATACTGGGATGAACTCAAACAATATGGATAAACAAATTCTGGATATTAGGATGAAATCAACTTCTCCAACAATGTCAATCATTGGTGGGACGAACTCAATTGATGGAGGTCGCATGCCATAAACTATTAAATAAAATTCAATGGACTCGATTGATGGATAACATTCCTAATAAATTAGAAGAGGTGGGGATTTTGAATAATGGTAATATTGTTCAACTCCTCATAATATACTATTCACTTTTTTATATTTTTTATTAATAAACTAAAAGAGATGGAGGGTTTGAACAGTGATAACACTGTTCATCCCCTCATAATGTACTGTTCTTTTTTTTTTTTATAATTTTGTTTTAGTCTTTAAAATTTTAATCCCTAACTAATGCACTACTAGCCTTTTCTTTTGTTTTTTTTTTGTTTTTTTCCTTTGCTTTTTTCCATCAATTTATGTTATTTATTTATTTATTTATTTAATTGGGTGTTATCCTCATAATGTACTATTCACTCTTGGGTTTTTTTTTTTTTTTTTTGTAATTTTCAAATTATTTCCTTGAGGTCTCTAAAATTTTTAAATAAAAATTTTAATCCCTAGCTCATGTACTTGCATGCCTTTTCTTTTCTTTTTTCTTTGTTTTTTGCCTTTGCTTTTTTTCATAAATTTATGCTCTTTTTTTTTTACTTAATTGGGTGTTAAAATTTTTTAAAATCAATCGTTACTTTTTTCTACACAAGCCGACGATTATATAATATATACGATATGTTTTTATATTTTAGAATAAATATATGCTATTTTTATTGTTTAAAATTGATCTTTTCGATTTATTATAAAAATTATCATGAAATTAATTTTTATTCTTATTTTTTATATGATTTTATTTATTAATAAATATGAGTTATTTTCTCTATGTATGGATTTGAATAATTTCTTTTTGTATCAATTTTTATTTTCTTAATTCTTATATAATAAAATTTTTAAAATGGAATATATGCATTTTATTTTCTTATTCTTTATATAATCAAATTTTATCAAAATCAATTTTATAGTTTTTATTGTACTATATTAACTTCAATATATATATATATATATATATATATATATATATATTATAATTTATTTTTTAAAAATATTTTTCTATTTATGCTATACATTCTCATCCATTTAGTACAGTCGTGACGTATACAAAATAATAATATTAAAGTCATTGATTTTATTAGAAATCAACTATATATTTATACAAACAATACCAACTATTTGCCATTATTTTTTTTATATTTTAAAATTAATTTTTTCAAATAAAATAATTAAAATAATATTTTAGAATAATCGTTTGATAATTCAAATACAATTTTGTAGACTAATATTATTTATTATTTTATAAATAAATATATATAAATCAAATATACATATTTTAAAAAATAATATTCTCATCGGTAGAAAAAGCTTAATTTGTTAATTTTCATACAAATTTTTATATTAATTGTTGCTTTATTTCTTCGATGCAATGTTATAAAAAAAATATTAAGATTTTTTTTAATTTTATATTAAAATTTGTTTATTATGGGTTTTTATTTAGAAATAAACGCATAAGAAAGAAAGAAAAACTTTTTTTACTTCAAAATTTATTCAAAACATAAAAAAAAAATGTATAGATACAAATTTTGATTAAAAATTATAAAATTTGATGAAATTTGATCTTTTATATTTAATTTAATACATTTTAGTTAACCGGCAACGTAGTATATATTATCAAGCTGAAATAAATATATTTTATTCGGTTCACGACATAGCGCGAGAATTCAAACTGTTCATATGCCAAAAATTCCTATTCCTTTATCGTTTATATGCATAAAATTACTATTCACTTGTTGGCAATTTAAGTAACTTTTTTTTTTTTTGGGCATTAAGATGCAAAATTAACACTTTTTTCTATTTTCGTTCCTCGTGTTGTAACATTGTTTTTCAATCCTTAGCTTTCATTCTTTTTTCACGCAGTGTGTGTGTGTGTGTGTGTCTATGTGTGTGTGTGTATTACTTTTATTATTTAAATTTCATTCTTTGAATTTATCATTTTTTTAATGAAAATTCTCATCCAATTAATATTTTTCTATATAATTTTATTTACTAATAAATATAACTTATTTTACTCTATGTTTGAATTTTACGGTAAAATCTTAAAACATGATTTTTTTTCTTTTTTAAAAATAAATTGGTATAATATATATCATAAATTCTTAGGATTTTTAAACAATAGTTGCACATATATATTATTCTAAAAGGTTAAAAGTGTATTTCAAATAATTTGTTTCAATTTACTAAGTATGGTCAAGATGTATAAAAAAAAACTATTGAATCATTTTTTTAATTAAAAATTAACTAGACATCTTCTAACATAATATAAATTATTTACTATAAATATTTTTTTTAACATTATAGAATCAACTTATTTGAATTAAAATAATTAAAATAATTTTTTAAGGGAACCAATCAATTATTCAAATGCACTTTTTATGCTAATTTTATTGAATATGTAAATAAATATATATAGATCAAATGCGTAAACTTAAAAAAAATAATAATAATAATCTTTTCATCAACATTAAATAAAAATAAAATTTTATTTTTTCATTAGTTAATTTTTATGCAAGTCTATACATTAATTGTAACTAACTTTATTTATTTTTGATGTATTCTTATAAAACAATATATTTTTAAAGTTTTTTTTTTTTGAATTCTTAATTAATATTTTAGGTTTAAATTATTATACATTTTTATTTAAAAATCCATAAATAAAGAAGAATAAATCATGTTTTTTTAAGCAAAAATTTTATGAAAACACAAAAAAAATAATAATTAAATAAAATTAATGAAAAATTATAAAATTTTGAAATGATTTTATTCTATCTACCTACGAGTGTTGTACGAATAATTTCAAAAATTAATCTTTTCATCAGTATTAAACAAAAAATTTTTTTTTCATTTGTTAGTTTTTATAAAAGTTTATTCATTAATTATAATTTTATTTTTTGTAATACAATATTATGAAAAATATATTTTTAAAGTTTTTTTTTAATTCTCGATTAATATTTTGGTTAAAATTAATTCATAAAGAAGAATGATTTATGTTTTTTTTAAAGCAAAAAATTTATAAAAAACATTAAAAAAAATTAATTGAATAAAAATTATAATTAAAATTTTTTTTAAATGATTTTGTTTTACTAGACCCGTGCTACGTTACGGGCAATCGGCTAGTTCGATTCTAATGGATATTTCGAAATGAACAATATTAAATAATTGAATGGACGCGATTGATGGATAGCATTCGATTCTAATGGATATTTCGAAATGAACAATATTAAATAATTGAATGGACTTAATTAATGGATAACAACATGAACAGCCATCATGGCTTCAAAGATATGAAATCACTCGCATTACTATGCCAATTTGATCATATCTGAGTTTTAGCCACTGAGTTTTGCAACTAAAACATTTGCAATTCGATATGATCTTCATTCAAGAAATAAAACTTAAGCACTTTCTGGAAATAACTTTACTGAAAGGATGAAAAATAACTTCCAAAAAACTTGAAATTCAAACAGTCATTGGTTCTCAAGTTTAACCATCTCAAACGGCTCTTGGGCTCAATGAAGGTCAGAAGAGAACTGTTTCGCACTGGTGTTCATTAAAGATCACATTTTCAATTGAACCATTAGAAAATTTCTATACATTGTACTGATGGCTACATAGTGCCAGACAAGGACTCATGAATGACAACTAAAAATGAACAATGACATATGACTATTTGCTAAATATTGATTCCATTTCTATATTGACCAACTGTGGTAATTGGCAAGTGAATCAGAAACCCTAACCATTCATACTCAATGAACTCAGATGGATGTAAATGCTTGCTTCATCACTAGCTAAGTCACTCCCTTCAATGTAGTCTCTTGAAGAAACGTCGTTTTCGACGCTTAGTCTTGAGATCTGTATCTGAAATGATAAAATTGAGAAAGTTAGGCATTGATACAGCTGCTGAAAGAAACAAAACAGCACAACTCATGTTAATTTTAAAAGACATAAGGTTATGCTGAGGGAGAAAATTAAAAGGGATCCTTTCAAAATGCCATTTAAAACATGATTGAATAAATTCTGTTACATGGTGTTCACAAATTCAGCTAGGATTTAGAAACTCACCTTTTAATCTGCCAGCAAGATATAATGCTTCTTCTGCAATGGGTCTCCATTGTTCTGCACATGAGTAGTTGATACCAAGACCCACACTAAGACCTCTCAAAAGATGCACTGTGCGAAGAACAGAAAATAATTCCTCTGGGAAAGCCTACATGTCCAAACACAAAGAAAATCTTATAATGAATAAAAATTGCAGTAGCATGATTGTCCTCATTTATTTTCTTGCTTGAGCCACTGGCTTCCCAAGCAAGGTTATCAAACCCAATCCTTATCTTTTTCTAATTTCCCAAGATTGGTAATCAGACGCAGATAAGACATCCCAGTAATGAAGCAGAATCAGCAATTTCACCAGTTCAAATTAAATTCAGCTTGTTTACAGCCTAATTCCTTTTCTCAGGTGGTCCAATAAAATACTGAACCACCCCGAAAACTGTATGATAACTACATTTCCAAGTTCAATCGCACTCTTCAAGTTCATGATGCTAATTAACACTTTATGTAGTTCATTACTGGACAACAGCACCAGGCACTGAATTGCTGAGAAACAATTAACAATCAAACAGAACGAAAAGCCTAAAGAAACCAAAAGGAAATGAAACTGGCAGTAGTTTTTTCTTCTGTTCTTCAGTGAAAAATTTGGATTCCATCCAACTACCAGCATGGCACTGCATAGATTAATTCATCTTCTATTATATCTAACGCTTACCTCAACGGAGACTTTTTTTATGGAAGAATCCTCTGAGAAAGGTTGCAACATTGCCACTCCAGGTGGTAGTTTTGTGTCAAACATTGTTTCTGCCAACCTAAACAATTCCTGCAGCCCATTCTCGCATTTACTTAAGGTATCTATGCCGAGCTCCCTAGAACAGGATAAAGAATGAAATATGAATAAAATATACATATCAGTGCAAGGATTTGCTATGGCAGAAACATAATATCAAACAAAAGGCAATTGTTGAACTCTTTTAACTGTATCCTAGATCATGTGAAGTGAATTAATCACCAAATGAACCACTAAACTGTTACTGACCATGGATGAATGAAATATAGCAAACAACTAGGAAAACATTAGAATCATCAAATCAGATCTCCTGTTCATCATCAGTCCTTTAGAACCCATTACCAATCCATGCACTAATATGCCCCCAGTAGCGCATAAATTTTGGCCTTAGTTTCTCCTCTTTTCTTGACAAATAATTGATAATTTTAGAATGAATGGTAATTACAAGCATTACCTGTAGCTTTCTGCTGCTCTAATTGGATCACTGTCAGCAATAGCAAGTACCAAATTTGCATATCCAAGCCTCAACTTATCCGGGAGATCCTTCACCTGCCCGTAGTCTAGCAAGGCAACCTGACTTGATGCAAAAAAGGTGTTCCAATAAGGTTCATAGTTGAACATTTAATCCACAGAATTCAATTATTTTACAGATTGTCTACATCTTGTTTAGATCATTTCATAATCAACTTTTTAGGTAACTGCCGGAAAGAGAGCTATAAGCATCATTAAACCAATCAATTGCACATAATATCAAAGATCACACACCAAAAATCAAGAAATATAAAGCAGACACAAAGAAACAAATGCTATTTGCCTACTTGCCTTGGAACCTTTACAAATCAATATATTTCCTGGATGGGGATCGGCGTGGAAGAAACCACTCTTCAGTATCATTTGTCCATATGCTAGTGTCAAACTCTTAAGAATGTTCCTGCACTTAAAAAATTTTAAAGGTGTATCATGCTTTCCTTATGTGTTAGGGGAAAACTGCAATTTGTGAAATTGTAAAACAACAGCAACAACCAAAAAAAAAAGGCTAAATGGGCCAAACCTCCACTGAACTTTAGTTCATTTAAAAATCAGTCCCTAAACTTTTTATTTTGGGTTTGACCTCCTCAGAACTTTTTTTTTTTTTTTTGGAGGGGGGGGGGGGGGGGGATTTTCAGCTCACTCCTTCCTTTGAAAAATTCAATACTTGGTATTTTGAGCTAAAGTTTGCACACACGCTGGGAATATTCAATCCATTTTTTGAAAAATCCTAAAATATTTCAAGGTTGGGAAATATATATATATTTTTAATTTTCTGAACATTAAAAATGTAGAAAATCGGAAAAATTTAAAAATAACCTAGAATGATCCCAAATTTTTTTCGGAGTCCTAGGTAAATCTTACTAAATGATTTTCATCATAAAGATATTAATGTGACCGTTATTTTTTATAGAAAGCTAAAGGATGGACTAAATCTCCAAAAAAATAAAGTTTAGGGGAGTTAAATCTGAAATTATAAGTTCAGAGATTGATTTTCAAATAGACTAAAGTTCAAAAGAGGTTAGACCCATTTAGCCCGAAAGAATCATCATATTGATTTGTGAGGAAGTACAATGAGAAATTTTGTGTCAATGAAATGATTTCAAGAAAGCTGAAGTCATAATTTCAGGCGAGAAGCCCTTTCAAAAGAAAAACTAGAAACTTGTGCAAAAGGACTTCATACTCTCTGGGATGATCTAGGGGCTTACTGCTTTGCTGCTGCTGCAATCTTACCACCAGGATTAATTCCACTTTTGGCTATTTCGTCACCAAGATTCAAAATTGGAATCCCATCAATGTACTCCATCACTAAGGCCCTCCTACATAAACATAAAGGGATTGATCACCAAAAAGTTCCTGCCTGATGTTATAGGAGCAATGAAGCAGAGCAACAAATGTAACAAACAAACACCACAAAACAAGCAGCCTATCAATTTTGTGTTTACAACAAAAAGAGGAGGTACAGCAGATGAATGAAGGTATAACATAAGATTGAGTAAAGTGGAGTAACTATTTTAAATGACCCGTGCATCAAGATCATTAGAATAGTACTGTTGCCAATTGGGTCAAGAATATCTACAGAAAGATTGTCATCCAATCAGTATAATCACACTAATTTCTTCTCATCACAAGAAGCAGTCCCACAACTTATGTGGTATCTAACTTCGATACCATAAGTCCATTCTGCCTGTTCACTGTGTTCAATCTCATTTCTCTGCTCCAGCTACAGCATGACAATTTATCTATGTTCTTAGTCTGTGTCTCTGGCCTGTCAGGACATTTCTATCAGTTTGGGACATTTGACTAAACAACCACCAGTTCCATCTCTTAAATGAAAAAATAAGAGGGGGATATTCTGCAACTGCTATAAGAAGAGCACATTTAAATAGTTCATGCGTCCAAAATAAGGACTGTTCACAGAGTAGCCAATATAAATAAAATACAAAGAATGCATCTCAGTGCTTTAATTACTTTTATTCCATCTCACTTCTTTAATTATTTTTATGCAACTTGATACAGGCAACCAATGAAGCAAAGCACCTCATAAATTTTGTAGAACAGACATACCTGCTGACCATATCCTTCAGCACTCGCGGCACTAAAACCGGACTTGCTTTATTATTCTCATACAGAAATTGCCGGATTCTTTCCATAGCATTAGCCTCCCTCTTGAAATCAAATTCATATCCAATCTTGAATAAGATAGATGAAACAAAGACATATCATTAAGAAGTATTTGATTAAAATTGAAGCCATGCAGAAAGAAACAAAATATTTAAGCACTTCACAGTTCTGGCGTAAATTCCATCAGCACGAGGTTTAAATTGTATAACTACAGAAGCAGCCACAAACCTCAATCTATGAAGTCAAACAAACAAATCAAGGAACAGCATCTAACTTGAAAAAAGAAGCAGGAAAAACCAACAGCCTCTTGCTTAAAATGCAAACCCACAATTCATAAAATAAAAATGATACATTATTTCAAATTTTGAAAGTAATCTGCGATCTTAAAGGTAAAATTATATTGTTACCAACTCTTCAAAGCAAGAAAGCATTTTGCAAAGTCCCAACCTAAAGAGGAAAGAATTGGATAATTCATTAAAAATGAAAGATTTTATCAGCATTGTGAACTTTAAATACCATTTCAAAAAGTTGTGAAGAACAGTAAAGATGTTTTGTTCATTGAGTCAAAGATTAAGACAGATGAGAAAATGAGCAATCTTTGATATGGAGTTGAACGACTTGGTTGATTCTTTGTTTTGGGGAATGTAAATAGTAAAGAACTAGATAAAACAGAGGTAAAAAACACAAAATATGAATTTCAGAAACTCCATGTCCTTCGGCTTAATGGTCTGATATTAATTGTTCACAGAATGCTGCTCAATGCTTATTTGTTGAACAATAAACATTTCACTCTAATTTGCTAGTTACTTGATCTGTAATACAATATATTTCATTGACAGTGATGGAAATTTTCTCAAGTTACTAGTACTAGTCCAGAATCCTACCTTGCAATCCAAAACTTTCAACTTTACCAATTGAAACAAGAGCCAACCACAAAATACGAAAGGAAAAAAGTACTACCATAATCTACAAGAATAATGGGCACCTGTTTCTCCATTTCTTTTGTCACAGAGTACAGATCAAATTTGATATCAGTTTTTTGCATGTATAAAGCAAATGCTTGAAGGTTATGGATGTCTGTCATCATCAGACCTTGAACTCCAAGATGTTGGACCTATAATACACTTGAAGTTATAATCTTGCAGGCATTACAGAGCTTAGAAGATCGCATCCAAGAATCCATACCTTGACAGCAACATCGCTCTTATCACCTTTCAATCTTGCCCGGTGAACCTAATTTGGTAGGGAAAAGATGTCAGATACACATGATACAGTAAACTGTCACCTGTGCTGAAGTAACCAACTCTTTAAGTTCAAAACCACAGTTGATGCTCAAAAGCAACTTATATCCCAATATTTACCGATAGCAACTTTCAAAATTCTAGGTAAGGCCTTGGTGAATAAAACAATGTATAGCATGAAATGTCTAAACTTCAAGCCAGGCAGAGATTTTACATGAAATGCATTACCTGTGCAATTGAAGCAGAACCAAGAGGTTCCACATCAAATCTTTCAAAAACGTCCTCAATGCTTCGACCTAACTCTTTCTCCAGCACAAGCTTAACAGTATCAAATGGAGTTGCCGGAGCTCTATCGCACAAAGTAACAAGCCTTCTCACCCATGCTGCTGGAGCAAGGTCAGGCTTCCCAATGATTTGGGCAACCTAATTCAAATCCAGTAAAATTAATTTACAGAAGTCTACAGTAAAATGCAGCTCTGTCTCAAACCAAAACAGCATAAAACATCATGACCACCCAATAATCAAAATGGACTGCAAAAAATTAACAAAGAAAAAAAAGCGTACTAACAAGGAGAAGATGAAGAAAGTAACGGATTGAATCAAATGGTTCCTAAACCAATTTCTAAAGCATAAAAACGAACACCAATCAGACCCCGATCCAAAAATAACCAGAATCGCAAAACTAATAAATTGAAAAAAAAAAAAAAAAAAAGAGGACAAACATAATGATTAGACAATTGAAAAGATAATTATATAGAAAGGAAGCAAAAAGGTCAAAAATTCAATGGGATAAGTCTAATTTCAATAAAAAATCAGGTTAATCTCCCAGAGCAAAAGAACCCAACATAGTAGAGATATAAAAAGGAAAATTACCTTCAGAAAGAACCCACCGAGATCAGAACACATAGCATGAATCTTGCCAGCAGCAAACTCATGCTGTTTCTCCCACATTGCCTCCTGCTTTTCCACATCCTTCACCAAACTCACTCTCAGTTGAAACAACTACACAAAACCCGATAACCAAATTCAATCAAACATGTAAATTAAACCACTTTTCAATCATATCAAGATAAAGGAGGAAAAAAAAGATAAAAGGAACCTTATAGCCAGTGTAGATATCAGCAGCACGAACCCAGAACTGAAATGAGCGTTGCAAAGGTCTAAACTGAGTAGAGAGCTTATCTTGAATGTCTTTAAAATCAACAAGAGGCGGCATAGTGGCATGGAGTAATAACAAATAACAATGTCTTCTAACTTTATTGTCAGTATAAGAAAAATGCACTTTTCCGGTGTTTGATTTTTCCCGGGTTAATTAGTAGTTAGGAGAGTGGATGTGATACTACTAGAATATTAGAGAATGTGACCTGTGTTTAAGGTAGTGGCTGAGGAACCAAAGAGTGATGGTGGAGATAAAAGATGTTGGTTTCAGTTTGGTGGGGTAGAGTGGAGTGGAGTGGAGCGGTGTTTGGAAAATGAGAGGAGGTGATTTAAAGGAAGGAAAGAGGAACGGGATGTTTATGTTTATGACGCTTGGCTTGTAAGGCTTGTTTAGTTAGTGTTGGATTTCCTGTGGGACGACGTAAAAGAAAGGAAATTGTATCTTTGTTGAGTTTTGGCCACTTGGGTAAGAATTAAGATTTTTCTTTAGTGATGACTAGCATATATCCCGTCATTGCCGTGGGATGAACTATATAATATTTTTTATGTATTTATTCATATAAAATTTAAAGTTTAAAAATAATTATATAAAAGGATCACGTGAAAAAGATTCGAAGTGAGTTATACAATATTCTTATGTATTCATTTATATAAAATACAAAATTTAAAAATAATTATTTAAAAGGATCATGCCAAAAAAAAAAAAAACCAAAACATATATCTTATATTTTGTTGTAGGGTTAGCTAAACGAAAAATCTGTAACAAAGTTGAGTAGTATAATGTGGCTAATTCAATATTGTTTGATATAAATATGTATTTTATTAGAAATATATACAATAACCGATAATTAAAATAATAATGTGATAGTTTTTAAAATTTTGGATGATTAATTTTTACCATATATTCTTCATCTATAATTTATTAATGAAATAGAAAGACTACCCAAAACAAAAAGACAAAAACAATTTGTCAAATCAAGAATTTCGAGGGGGATCGAGATAAAATGACATACTATCAAAATTAAATGATAAAAAAAAAACTTATAAACAATAAGATTGTGAGCAGTTTTACTAAAAGCTAAGAAAAAAATATTTATTATAGTGATAAAAATCAAATATGATAAAAATTTCAATATTTATTATAGGAAAAAAATCAAATATAATAAAATTTAAATAACTAAAATAATAAAAGGTTACAAAACAGGAACTAAAATAAAAATAAAATTCACTAAAAGCCAAAAGAGGGACTTAAAAAATACAGGAAGAGAAAAAAATGATTTACTATAGAATAAAAATTAAATATAATAAAATTTTAATGATCAAAATAAAAAAGTTATAAAACAAGGACTAAAATAAAAATAAAATAAAATTTTAATATTTACTATAAGGATAAAAATGAAATATAATAAAATTTTAATAACAACAATAAAAAATTACAAAACAGGAATTAAAATAAAAATAAAATTCACTAAAAGCCAAAAAAAAAAAAAGAGCTTAAAAATGCAGTAAGAGAAAAATAAAATTGATTTATTATAGAACTAAAAATCAAATATAATAAAATTTTAGTGACTAAAATAAAAAAATTACAAAATAGGGACTAAAATGTAAAATTAATTTAAAGCCAAAAGAGAGGCTTCAAGCAGCAAGAGAAAGAAAGAAAAAAGAATCGTGCTATAGGCAAGGCAAGGCAAGGGGGAAAAAGAAGAGAGAAAAAAATAACCCGGCTATAGGCAACTAAAAAAAAAATTAAAAAATGAGAACGAGTGAATGAACAGTAAAAACGCTACGAGTACTTTAGCGTTTTGTTTTAGTTTTTCTTGTGATAGGATGCTCGGGTGTTGTTTAGTAATCAAAAGTAGAGTGGTAGAAATGGAAATGAAAATTTTATTTTCACGTTATAGCTATTTAATTAAAAGGAATGAAGTGAGAATGAGAATAAAGAGTAGGAATACGAATAAAAATTTACACACAACTTCATTCCCATTTAAGATGTGGGAATAAAATAAGGAATGAGAATCATTTTTTTCAAAATAATAATATATTTTATTTATTTATTTTAATTATTCTCTATTAATTACTTTTACCACCACTACCACAACCATTACTATCATCACAATTACTATCACCAAGCGAGCACCACCACCACTAGAACCACCATTGTCATAACTACTATCACCATCTCTTTTATTATTTTTACAACTATTATAATTTGATAAAATTATTTTTTAATCATTATTTTTATTTGTATAAAAAATCAGATATTAAAAAAATTAAATTGTATTATGATTTCTCATTAGTATTTCAAACACAATGCGAGAATACAAATGACATTCCAATTCCTTAATTTTATTCCGATTCTTGCATTATCATTTTGGACCTTTCATTCCCGATAACCAAACGACACATTAGTTCTTTATTAAGATTTTTTTATTAAAAAAATACCAATTTGTGATTGTTACTATATTTTATAATTATTATTGTATCTCGATAAGATTCTATTTCTATGATTTTTAAAACTTTCCATACAATCACAAGAGATATTTTATAAATATTTAAATTTAAATACCCTCGATATTTTTTTCTTTTCCTTTTTTTTTTAATTTTTATCTTATTTAATTTTTTTTCTTTTTGGCTTTCGTTGTTTTTATACTAGGCTATTTTAAGGATGACAATAAACCAAGTATAAAGCGGATATTCATTTTATCTAGTTCACTAAATATTCATTAAAAATGTCTAATAGGTATTGAAGTGGATTAAAAAAAATACATATTCGCTAATATGAATTCAAAATATGAGTACTCATTCTTTATCCTTTTGATACCCACTAATTTATTTTGATTTTTTTAATATGTAAGAATCTAATTGCATAAACTTTAAAAATTAAGAATCAAAATATTTTTTTCTAAAAGCTGTGAGGACTAAAAAAACTTATAAATAAATTACTAAAATGCAAGGAAAAAAAAGTTAAGGATCTAAAAAACTTTTCTTGAAAATTATAAGAACTAAAATGAATATTTTTGACAAATTATTTTTAGCAAGTATTAAATGGATATTAAATAGGTGGATAAACTAACGTGATTCATGTATCAAGTAAAGATATATATGATAATTTTTTAATAAATAATAGGTAGGATATTCTTTTTAAAGATACGATAAAAAATTACATTAATAGATCGGTATTCACCCATTATCATTCCTAGGCTATCTAGAATAGTTTGCTAACTAGAGAAATGGGTTTGCTCAATATATTATCATCTTAAATACATCGATTTAGAAGTAGATAACTTATCAACAACTTCATTGAAAATGTAAATCCATTTTTTCCCTCAAAGATACTTTAACTATTAAAAAAGAATTGCATTAAGTTATTTTTTATAATTTTGAGACCTTGGTTAAGGATCATGCATTCTATAGAGGTGCGTAATAAACAAAAATTTTTATTCTCTTTCATCTAAAATCTTAAGATGATCCGTTGACTCAACTAACTATATATTAACAAAATGAATCAGATTTTACTTCTTGTAACATAGAATCAAATTCGCAAATAGAACCATTAAGTGTTTGGTTGATACTAATGATCCACATAGCTAAATCCCACACAAGAAATGAAAGAAAAATCTAGAATGGTAAATCAAAATTTTCTCGTTATGTATAATTTTCTCTCAAGAAATCAATCAAGAAGATGACGCAAAATCTTTTAGGAAGGGTGGCATAATTTTCTATTGTGTTAACTATGATTTGTGTCTTCTTCTCTCTCTCTTATTTATGCAGCCAACACTCTTTTTCGATCAAAGAGTTATAACATATGTGGGTTTTGTTTGACCTTATGCTTATAAACCCTAATAACACCTCTCCACTTCAATTACCCTTGCAAGCTTTCACTTAAACCTCGTTGGCCCAAACTCTTTTAACCCAAAAACTCAAAAATTAATTTGAACCATCCAAATAAGCTAGGTTAGGTATTTTTAGTAAGGTCTACATTAGGAAACAATTTCTTAAGTTACTCTTGCAATTTATTAAACCTAAATTAGGAAACCGATTTCAATTTTAGAAAACTAATTTCTATTTTAGAAAACTCGACATCCAAATTAGAAAACTAATTTTTATATTAGAAAACTAATTTTCATTTTAGAAAAGTAATTTTCAAAATAAAAAACTAATTTCTAAAATAAAAAATTGATTTCCAAATAGGAACTCGATTTCTAAAATAGTAAACTAATTTTCAAAATAGAAAACTAATTTCTAAAATAGGAAATTTTTTTCAAAATCTTTACCTTTTTTTATTTTAGAAAACCGACATCCAAATTAGGAAACTAATTTTTATACTAGAAAACCGATTTTCGTTTTAGGAAAGTAATTTTCAAAATAAAAGACTCGATTTCTAAAATAAAAAATTGATTTCCAAATAGGAAACCGATTTCTAAAATAGTAAACTAATTTTCAAAATAGAAAACTAATTTCTAAAATAGAAAATTTTTTCCAAAATCTTTGCTTTTTCTTTTTTATGTGAATGTTTAAACTTATGTGTGTGACTCAATAAGCTCTTAACATGTTTATAATATATCGAGAAGTAAAAGACACTTCTTTCATCTTTTGATACATAAATCAAGGTTGACCTCTAGTAAGGCATCATGACTACCTAATTGTCCGGAAAAATTACTTAATCCATAATAACTTTTACGGATACATTTTCATACAATTCAGATCCTCATGTCAATTTATCACAATGTAATCTCGAACTTGGTTTTTTATCCGTTCAATTATGATTGCATAAGTTTTCTTCGATCTCCAAATATCTTAGCTCTCAAGTAAACCAATCATGCTCTATTGGTATACTTTCACCGTGACCACGGATTCTTAGCGTACATTCATCAAAGTGCAATGTCATAACTCCTTTAACATATAAGGAATGATATGTCCTATCTCGGTTATCCACCTTTCTTCATTAGATTCCTAATGCACCCAACAAATTGTCCACATGTAACTCTTTACCGAGCTTATCGAAACAAATATCAAAGTACATAAATCTTTTAATGAGATAACTATGATGACTTCAAATCAAAGCACTATGTGTACCCATCTCATATGAGATTTCTAGAGACTATATAGGTTCTCATGGTGAGTCACTTCCAATGATAAATTTTTTAATATTATTCACCTATGTGCTTTGCTTTGGCATCACCATGCCAATACATGTGAGATCTTTTACTACTATCTTATAGTAAGAGTATAGCAATCATAAGTCTTATCGCATATTGTCAATGTTCAATCTTGACAATGCTATAACTTGAGATATTTAATGATTTCATTTATGTGCATTAATATTTATCTTACATCTATTAATCAATCATTAATGCAATATATATCATATGGACTTCTATCTAATTCTATCTAATTATAAATAATAATAATTAATAGAAAGACTTCTTTATTAATATTGAAAATGCAATGATAGAATATATCAAATCATCCAAACAAGTTGGATCTTTGGCACGTACACTAGCACTTGGGAATCTCAACATTGATTGTTTAAATAAATAGTACTAGAATTTGAATAGTAGTAGCTTGATAGGGAAAAAGAAGAAGAAGAAGAAGAAGATTTGTTATGTCTTTCTTAGGTTTAATGGCAAAACTTATTTCCAAATTATTGGTTTATATTAATTTAAGGTTTTTACTATCAATTTGGATTATTGGATTCTAAACTATTATTTTATTATTAAATGTTATTCTTTCTTTGTTATCTTTTATGATCAAAGCGTTCACCGTTAACTTGAATACTTAATAGCAAAACAAATCCCCAAACTATTGGAGTTATAAAAATTTAAAGCATTTATTACCAATTTAAGTTATTTGGACTTCAAACGATTTTTTTAAGCAAATATTATCTTTTTTTTTTTTTGTTATTTTTTATGGTCAAAACATTGATTATTAACTTGAATACTTAAACAACCATTAAAAAAAATTGAAAATATATATATAATAATGGTTAATACGAATAGTATGTATCTTAATATGTGACGACATATCTTCCTAAGACACTATTAACCAACTAAATTAATTGAACGAGAGAGAGGGGTTGTGTTATTAAAGTGTTGTTCGGATTATTTCTAAAATTTATATATGTTTTTCTACAACAACATTTCAGGCCTAATTCAACTAAGAACAAGCATAAGTCTTATAAAGTAATTCCAAAAAAAATTAATAATATCGTATTTCTCTCTATTTATTTCAATTAATTTAGTTGATTTTAATAGTGCATCAAGATGACATATCGTCGATATTAAACATTGTTATGTTTTTTAATTAATTTTATAAAAAAAATATTGGAATGTTTAAACGACTTCATTTAAATGTCCAAGTCAATGCTTTGACTATGAAAAACAATAGAAGAAGAATAACATTGGTCTTACGACAAAAATTGCCACCGTTTTACCGCAATTTGGTAATTTTTTCAGGCCTTTATTATCAATTTACGTAATTTGAACCCCATAATATCAATTTTTAGGTAAATCTTATCTAAATTTATTAATTGTAATGGTCAACCCAGTTCACCATTAATTTTTTTCTACGGTTATTTTTTTTACTATTAATTTTTTAAAAAAACTTTAAAAAAGCTTTTCCTCCATCTTTCAACGAGAGGGTTTTTTTTTTTCCACTCGTTTACCTATAAATAAATAAAACATTCATTAAACATATCACTAAATTTTTTTTGGTTCTCCCCGAAAAAGACCTTTTACCTTTGAACTTATCTTTAAAAAACTAAAAATAAAATAAAATTAGAAAGTTAAAAAAATGGTTTTCTAACTCTAAAAATTTTAAATGCATCTTATATATTTGAATCAATTGTGAGAAAAAAATCCTATTTCAAAATTTAAAGATAAAAAATATATATTAAATAAATACAGACTATATTCAAAATTTAATGAATGACAATCACAAGAATAAATTTATTGGCATGACAAAAGAAACGTTTCAATTAAAATTAATTATTTGATGATTTCAATTGATTAAATTCAGCCAATAAATATTTATATTTTATTAATTATAGAAGTTGATTGTTTTAATGGATAACGATACTAAATAAAAGTTATGTTTTAAAAAATTAAAAAAATTATATACAAATCACAGCTTGATTGATTGTGGAAAATAAAAGGGATTAATATGTGAAAATTTTAAATAGAAAGAATCTCTTTTGAAAAATGAAGGAAAAACATTTTAACATTTTTTTAAAAATTAACAAAGAAAAAAAAGCAAAAAAAAAAAAAAAAAAGAAGAAGAAGAAGTAATTGTCAACTTATAATTAATGAATTTGAATAAAATTTGACCAAAACCGATATTTTAGGATTCAAATTACATAAATTGATAATAAAGGCTTAAAATTATCAAATTGCAATAGAATGGAGACAATTTTCGTCATTAAACCGAATAACATTACTCACAAATTAATAGTTTAGGGTCTAAATAATCTAAATTAGTAGTGAAAAAGCCCTAAATTGCCATAACTCCAATAGTTTGAGGATAATTTTTGATATTAAACAAAAAAAAAATGCTTAAACGATGTTTTTAAGCATTTAAGTTAATGTCGACGCTTTAACAATTAAAGACAATAGAAAAAGGATAACATTTGCCTAAAAAATAATAATTTGAAATATAAATAACGTAAATTAATATTAAAAACCTTAAATTGTCATAACTCGATAGTTCTAGGGTAATTTTTATCATTAAATCGTGTTTCTTAGGTTAAACCTATATTTTGGTTTATATGCTAATCTATCAATTTAATAAAATGGTTTATCAATAACTTAGTAAATTAAACTTGTGGTTTTTTACTATAGTCAATTAAACCCAAGGAGATAAATTAATGACAGACTAATTGAGTTTGACTGCTGAATTTATTTTCAATTGAAACCATTCTCTAAACTTTGATCTCTCTCAGGTTAAAAAAAAAAATTATTATTTATCCTTTAATTTTCTGTCAAAATTAAAACGATGTGCATACCCGTGCAAGTCACATGTTAAACTTTTCATTTTGGACTTTTTTTTTTTTTGGCAGCAAAAAAGAAAAAATAACAGACATTCTAGCGATCTGCAACTGCTGTCTCAAATTCTAATAAAAACCACTACTGTCTCAAATAATTTCACCTCACCAATGGATTTCTCTCATGAAAAAGGACAGAGCTTAGCATCTTTAAGAGTTCGGAAACAGGATGGGCGATGATCAAGATCAAAGAAGGGCAATTGATTGTGTGAAAGGTTACATAATGGGAAACATCACTGGATCTAATGTTTTCGCAAAGCACAACCGACACCTTTTACGTTACTTCGACAGCGAAGAAGTGGAGAAAGCTAGTGGGCGACAGGTGTCTAAGAGCATATCATAACTTTATCCTTTTATTATTAATAATATAGTAATTTAGTATCCCTTTTATGACAAAAATAACGCAGTCTTTTTTCTGTCTAAAAATCAAATCTAAAATTAAAAGTTCAAGAAGTGATTTTCAAATGAACAAAAATTCAGAAGATTCAGACCCATTTATCCTTAATGACATCTCTCTCTTTTTTTTTTTTTTTTTTTTTTTTTTTTCTGTCAATCAAATTAGGCAATGAGAACAAAATCGAGTCACTTGATTATGACTCTTAATTCATTTTATTATACCTGACTCGAATCCATTATAAAGATAAATATATGGTCCTACAAAATAATGTGGAAGGAAAGTACAAGAACGCAAAATAAATATCCAAATTGTCTTTATATATAAAAAAATACAAGAGGATAAAATAATATAAGAGAGTACAACTTCCTTAAAAAATGAAAGATAAAAATCATAATTCCGTAGTATGAGACAAATGACATATCATTAAATAATAGGACAATTGATAGAAGTTGAAAGAATAATATTTATTAGCAGTTTTAAAAAAATTTGTATACTAAAATGAAAAAAATAAAAATTAATATACTTAATTAAGAAAACATTCAAAGTTAATACACTTATAGGATAATTATCATCTCTTTCTTTTACCTATTAACCGAAGGCCCCCCCTCTATATGGTCTATGTACTGATGAAATTATTTTGATTAAGGTCTTGTAATTTTTTTTGTTGATTGAGTTTCTCTATTTTTTATTTTATTTTATTACCATTCTTCCATTATAACACTGTTGATTTGAGAGATGACTCGATTTATTACACTCTTGGATGCGTAATAAGTGTCACACATGAGACTCAATAAAGAGACTCAATCAAAACAATATAAAGAGTACAAATACCATTTTTTTCTTTTCTACTTTTCATTTTTTTTTTTAAATCTCATCCTAAATGCAGGATATGTGTCATATACGAGACTCTATCTTAGTTAAACAATGAAGTATTTTTTTTAAAAAAAAATTGTTACAATAGGTTAAAAATTATAAAATAATACATGAAAAAGAAAAGCAAAAAAAAAAATCAAACCTTACATGTAATTATTAAAATAAAAATATAGTGATATGCAATATCGATTAGTCGCTTAGTTAATGGGTCTAACATTCCCTAAAAACTAATAAATTCTTAATATTTGATCAATTCAAAGTGAAAAATAGGATTGTTCCCAAAAAAAATGCACCATTTTTTTTTTATATATAAATAATTAACTACTAGTTAGCATCACTATTGTTTTCATTTTAATTTTGATGAGCATATTTATACTCCTTTTTTTTAAAAAAAAAATTGCATGTTAGTTTTGTTCTGTATGTATTTTATTATCTTTAAATTATTCTAATAATTTTTTTTTTTTAAATACTCTTCATAGTTTTCTGCTATGAGGTCCTAACTATAGCACGTTTTGTGACTTTCAAGATAGGATCCCTCATATAATACGTTTTGTGGCATTCAAGATGTGGTTTAAAAAAATAACATGGAAATTAAAAAAAATAATAATAATTTGACCCTTGCAATTTTTTAATTAATTTAATTTAAGTCTCATACTTTTTGAATTTTTTTTAGTCCCTTTATTAGGGTCTTTTGTATGACACATGTCACATATTCAGAAGTGTAACATGTCAAGTCAGCTTATATAAATCAAAAACATTATAATGGAGGGATGGTAACAAAATAAAATGAAGAATAGAGGACTCAATCAACATGTGAAAAAAAATACAGCTCTCAATCAAAATAATTTGAAGAGTATATGAACCATATATGGACAAAACCCATTAATCAAATTAAGCAATGAGAGCAAAATCAAGTGACTTGATTTTTTTTTTTTGGAAACAAGGACGGTATCCTGGGATAGTATAAATGAAACATAAAAGGATACAAGGGCATACAAATCAGCTTATCCCAACATACTGAAAGGATAAGGAAACCTAAACTATTGAAAAACTACAGGAAAGTTCTCTAAGAAATACTAGGTAAGGTACCACAATAGAAAAAACACAGGATAGTGACTAACCCTGTGTTTGGATATTTCCTCTTGTGAGGAAAGAAAAGAGAGGAAAGAAAATAAGAGGAAAGAAAATTAATTTTCACTTGTTGTTTGGATAAGAGTAGAAATGAAAGGAAAGAAAGTATATTTTTCTTATCTGAATAATTATAAAAAGAATGGGGAAAGAAAATATATTATTGTATATTTATTAAAATACCCCTATGATTACATTTCTATATTTAAATACTTATAATAAATTTGTATAAATATTTTTTTCATTAAAATTACACAAATGATAATAAAATAAAAATCTAACATATACTATCTTTTTGAAATAACAAAATGGATAACGAACCATCTTCATAGAATAATCCATAAAATCAAAAGATGGTCATAAATAGCATATGTTGTTGGCAGCAGGGGTAATAACGGAATAGAATCAAGATTATAGCAAGAAAGTATCATTTTTGTCAATCGAATATTGTACAATAAGTTCCTCAAATCTTCATAGAAAATTGGACATGGATGTCAAATATTTTATTCTTAAAATCCTGTTTGTTTACAGGAATCATGCGTGGAAGTAACATGATTTACTAGTGTTTGATGCAACAACTTTTTATCTACGTGACTTTCCATGTTTAGTCATGTTCTCAACTAGTTTTGAATGTGATTCGCCTTTCATTAGACAGAAAGAAATGGAAGTGATTATATGTCCAACTTGAAAAGACATGGATAAATATTTAGGTATAGCTGTTTAGTCTCAAAATTCTGTCATGCTAGTCTTAGCAATACAGAGGCAAAACACTTATTTCTGCAAATTCATCTTCACCCACTGAAATTCACTATTTGAATCACTAGCGTTCCTGCCAACACAACACAATTGCAAAATCTTATTCTACACAGCTTTGAGAGCATACAACTACAAAACAAACGATTTCTGTCCTCCATTGCAGCATCACAGGGAAAGCAACCAGTATTTATAACCCATTCCATAGAAAATTATCTTGCCTTAGTAGAAAATCTGTCCGTACTCCAACCATGTAATAAAGCTACGTCTAGGAACATGGAGAGTTCCCCAAATAAGCTTATACCAATCGATCTTTGCTTGTTTCCTTCTTATGGGTTCCCATGCACTCCTTGAGGAATAATTACCATCTAGGCTGGGTTTCTAGGTAAGCTGATCCTTGCTCAGAGAAGGATAGATTATTCTACAAGCATTCTGAACTTCCACCAGAGCTTTTGACCTGGCATTAGGCCAGCACCATTCATTGTTCTCAATCAAAACTGCCACTTTAGCATTTGATGGAATACCAGATTCATAGACAAGCCTGGTACTGTACTTTTTAGCCAAAGGACCAGGAGTCAACCTACAATCCCACCATAAATGATCGTTTTTACCATTACCAACCACATTCAATTAGGTCTCAAGCTATATTTCTATGCTTAAGGAGCTCATAATCCTGTAAGAGAAACGAGTCTCATCTCACCTTCGGAGACTCAAGTCCAACCGAATGGACCCCAGCAACCAGCTGAGAAGCCATTTCAACCAGCAAAGCCTGCTTTGATGAAGTTAAAGCCTGCATTAACCACAGCAACAGAATAGGGTATCCTCACGAAGCAGCAAAGAACTTGGAAGCAACTTTAAATCACCATCGAAGGCTAGTACAGAGAGAGAAAAAAACCACTAACTAAGCAAGTACTGAAAAATTTCATTTCTGGCAACAAAGTCAGTTTCACGATTAAGCTCAACAACAGAAGCCCCCCCTTATTCCGAACTAATGCAAGCAATCCTTCAGTAGCTGTCCTGCCCGACTTTTTCATCGCTAACACTTTTCCTCAAATCCGTCTGGCCGCCTCTACATAAACAGATCAATTAATCCACAGAAACCCATATATTCAAAACCACAAATTTACAAAACAAAACAAAAATTCATTCATACCCATATACCAATTGCATTCAACGAGAGAAGCCTTGACATCTTTGACTGGAGCACTAGTCCGTCATCTCAGTTGTTTAATGAGATCCATTTGGACTGTTGCACCAGGTGCTTGAGAGCTAAATCGCCGCGAAAGCACTTCAAAGGCATATCTAAATGCAATTTTGTTATCGGACGACTGACAAATTGGAGCGGCGGTAGAGTAACTTTGTCCATAGCTAGCCCCGGCTTGGTACGTAGCATCATTGAAAGAGGACTCTTTGCATTTCTACAGACAGCCATTTCTATAAAACCTACTACATGCTTTAATAACATAAAAATCCAACAAAGAAAACCTACTCCAATTTCAATAATATTATTAAAAAAAACCTGAAAATATTAGAGTAGCCAAAACCCACAGAATCAGTGGGATTTAAGGGTTTCGCATAGATCGGCGCTATGGATTTTAAGGAAATTTTTTTTCTTTAATTGCAATTTTAATAAAGAAAAACTAACCTGAAACTGAAAGTGTATCGAAATCAACATGAATGAGGAGTGGCGAAAGAGAACGGAGGGAAAGCAGGAGAGAGAGAGACTGAGACTAATTAAAGCCGTCGATGTGCAGATCTGTTTTGGTGAGTTTTGCCGTGATTTGTTACTGCAGAGAGTAGAGAAATGGAGAGGGAGGGATGAGGTATATGAGGGCAAAAATGAGAATATTCATATTCTCATTTTCTTTTCGTGCTTTTCCTCCCATTTTGGGAGGAAAATAGATCCCACCATTTATAAGTTTGTTTAATATTTTTTTCTTTCCACAGCTTTCCTCCTCAAAGCAAACAAATGAAACTTTTCTTTCCATCCTCATTTTCTTTCCTTCCCTTCACTTTCCTCCCTACCCAAACAAAGGGTAAGTCTAACCTACTAGAAACAGAGAACATAACCAAGTTGCAACAATATCTATCCCCTGAACCTAGCTAGGCTAATGCAATCCTCCCGAAGTGCCATACGAGTTGACATAGGAAGTGAAACTACTGAGTGATAAATTTCCTAATCTCCATGTATATAGGCATGATCCGTTAGTCTATCAGTTGCGAAGTTACCTTCCTTGTAAACATGCAACAATTTACATGAGCCAAGTAGGAGTTTGCGTTTACGAAGAGGGTAAATCAAAGGCCATGGAATTGCATGCATTCCAAAAATAGAATTAACCACTAGTTTCGAATCAAGCTTAACATAGTGTACTGGTAGATTGTTACTCCCGCAAAGTTTCAAACCATCCATAACAATATAAATTTCGCCCTTGTTATTAGAATCCGCGCGATAGAAGGAAGAGAAACCAAAGACAAAATTGCCAAGCCAATCCCTCATCACACCACCACCAGTACACAAGCCACCCTTAGTAAATCCATCACAGTTTAATTTGAACATATGTGCAGGTGGAGGAGACCAAGAAATCTGTTGTCCTCTAGGTAATGAAGGGTGAACTAAAGGTATATTTAGAGCTTGGATGCTAAGTTTATCATGAAAGCCAAGGTTGGATCGTGGAATGAACATAGTCTGGAGCTCGTAAAGCCATTTCTTCACTTTAAAGATGATCACGTCTGTATTCATTGATACGTCATCAAAAAATGCTTTATTTCGTTCTTTCCAGATTTCCCAGAGAGTACAATGAAATACCAGCATCCTAAGAAAGGATTTTTTATTAGTGAGAACCAAATTACGCATCCACTTGCTAACTAAACGCTGCATGCTGTGACTTACAGTGCAAGTGTTAAGTTTAGCGCCAAAGTATTTCCAAATTTTGACAGCAATATCACCATGCATAAACAAGTGTGTAACCGACCCCATCGTTGAACGTTTCTGTCCACTTGATTGTGGCTTTTTTATTAGACATAACTCAAATCCATTATAAATTTATATCTAATAATAAGAAAATCAAGTGTGAAAAAGAAATCAATATTCAAGATGAGCAAGACTACATGTCACAAGACTATAGTAAAGCGATCTACTAACCGCCATCAACATATATAAAACATTATACCATTATAGGTTCGTAGGGTTGATCATTATCAGTCAAATATATATTTTAATTTTTGTTATCTATAATTTAGACACCAGGTCCGTATCGCTTTCAATTTAAAACTGTTAGGGGTTCTGTGATAATCATGACTCGATTTTTGTTTTGGAATTTGGTGTGGGTACGACTATCTACACGGAAATTAGTTTAAGTGTTATTCAGCCTTGGTTTTATGGGTTCGAAGGCTAAATCATCCGGGTTTTTTTCTTTTATCATAAAGGAGATATTCATGCCTACTACTTGGTTTATGTGGATGATATTATATGCTGATTGAGAGCTCTTCATCTTTCTAATCCTCTATTGTTGCTGCCTTTCAACAACTTTTTTCTCTCAAGGATCTTGGAAGATTGCATTATTTTCTTGGTATTGAAGCCACATGGACTGATAGGAGTCTTCTTCTTATTCAATCCAAATATATTGAAGACATCCTACTTCGTTCTTATATGCATGAAAGCAATTCCATTGCCACTCCTGTTTGTCCTAAGCTCTGCCTTACTATGTCTATGGATGAGCCATTCTCTAATCTATGTTTGTATTGTAGCATTATAGGAAGTCTTTGGTAACTGACTCTGTCTTGTCCAGATGTTTCCTATGTTGATTAATACTAGAAAGGGTCGATCCCTCAGAGAAATTATTTAGATCATTTATCAATTATCTGATTGATTAATACTAGAAGGGTTTTTGGTTGTTAAATGCTTTGATAAACAAATTAACACAACAAGTAAAGTAGATTAATAATAATGGAAAGAATGATCGGTTGTTGGTTTAATCTCCACTCTCGCACTGAATGATTATAAATACAATAGACTATTCAACTTCTCTTATTAAGTTATTGATCTTAAATAACAACAAGCTCTGTTATTTGAATTTTCCCTTAAGTGTCACCAATTGAAACAAGCTTTTCAATTAGATGTTAATAGTAACACAACCTAGAATAAGCTTTCTAGATTTAATGCACAACAACTTTAAGAATTAGGAAAATAAATCAATCTAGGTAATAAGCTCGAATTATTTAATGTAGGTTATATTATTCAAAGTGACGAAGATAAAAACTTTTTCCATGATCATCTATCACTATTTGTTGCTAGGTGATTAGAAAAGTGACAATTACACGTATCACAATTCTTAGATCTAGCAATAGAAAACTATTACAATCAATCTAGTTGGCTAAACCAAATCAATTCAATAGAAATCATAAATCACATGAAATCTAAATAAGACAATCAATTTAATCGAAGAGAGAAGAAGAATAACATTACAAATTATATCATTGATATGCTAATGAGAGCTTTACAATCCCCTTGAATTGATACAAAGTGTTTAGTTACACATACTATTCATAATAAAATAATATCAATCTATTTTAGGGCTCGTCCAAAACCTCCCCCTTTTGCTTCCCCCATCTTCCGAATATATAGGTACAATATAATAATGTGCTAGGTTAGGAAAAGAAGCACGGGGTCGTGTGTGTGTTGTGACACATGACCGTGGGTGAATTCATACAGGGGAAAAGGAATTTTGCCCGGAAATAGACACACATAAAGAAACTTTGAAAAGAGTTAGACACACGACCATGTGTCTTTGTTGCTTCATCACACACACGGGCAATAACCTTAGCCTTTATACCTTATGTAATCAGCTTGAATGGTCTTAATACATGCCAAATTAGAGTTTTCTTTCTTCATGAACATTGTATCCTATTTCTTATCTTTCTAACGCATTAAGTCTTGCATCTATTGAAGATCCATAACTTTAGTTATGAGCTAAATAATACCATCGATTCAACTTGTCCGCCCAATCTTAGGATTCTACTTTACAGTTGAATTCCTCCATCACACCGACGTAGTTTGGATTCGGGACCTTATAAGACTTATAGGTATGCCTTTTAAGTATTTTATGGATTTGGCATTGCATCAATTGGAGTTACGAAACTCCATATATGGATTAATTACTGAAACTGTGCGGGATGGAAATCCTAATCTAGTTAGGATTTGGCTAGCTTTTCTAATTTAGACTTTGGATCCCTTTTGAAGGCCCAAAAAAACTTGAATTTCAACCAACCATATCATTCCGAAAAGATTGAGATGTCCTTTATAAAAACTCGAAGAATGCTAAATGTATTGAAAACCTAAAAGAAAGGTGAAAGGTATAAGTAAAAACATGCTGGAATTCTTAACTTTTAAGCACAATTATCGCTAATTTTAAATTTATGTCTTAAGTAAATATGAACATTAATTAACCTATTAAGACATAAGACGTAGCAAATAAATGAAATGTAAAGAGAATAAATATATAATATAATATTTCTATCGTGATCTAACCTTTATCTACTCCGAATATCTCTACCTATAGTAATGCTAATTAGGCGAGACAATGATAACTGAAAAGCCACAACGGTTATACGATATTTCTTAGAACTAATCTATTTTCTTAGAGTTCTTAAAAACCATGCACAGTGTCCAAACTATCCACTCGGGACCGAATATAAAGCCTTATCTACAATCGCTTCTAAAGTTCTTTGGCTCCACTCTTTGCTTCATAAATTACATTTTGCTTCTTTTGTCAGCTTCCATCTTATGGTATGATAATTAAGTGCTACATATCTCACACGTAATCTAATTTTTCATTTTTAGTCCAAACACTAGGAGATTGATTTTCACTTTGTTTGTGAACGTGTTGGTACTTGTTGATTACTTAACCAAAGCTCTATCTAAACTCCAATTTTAATTTCTCCGTAACAAGTTGACATCCGTTCGGTATTTTCCTATTCAACTTGAGGGAGGGGGATAAGGTAACAATCTATTGAGATATAATTAGGACTATTCAAATAAATTACAGATAAGTTAGGACTTTTTTTAAACACTTACCAAACTACTGTACATCATCTCTGTAGCCTATTTATAGCTCAATATATAGAACCGAGTGTGGAATTCATCCAAACACAAACTTCTACAATAGTATATTGCTTAATTTGGTTCAATTGGGCTTCCAAGGTGTTCTGTCCTTCGAGCTTTTGCTAACACAATTACCTTAGATAAAAATGCTATGTATTACAAATATTTTGGCTGATTCGATTTTAGAAGAAATAAAGTTTCGAGAACAAAATCCACTACCACCTCAAACAAGTTTTGAAAAAGGAGAGACTATATTTTTCGGAATAACCCTCCATCAGAATAATATGCGATAGTGA